TTATAAACAGAATACTGAATTGTTTAACTTCATATTCCTTTAAATATGTGACGTAATATACCTTTCTTCACTACATAGTACAAAACAAAGTAGCTTTCTCTGTCCCTGTATCTCTCTATGTATGCTTAAATCTTTAAAACTACGCAACGGATTTTGATGCGGTTTTTTTCATAGATAAGGTTGATTCATAAGGAAGGTTTTCATGTATAATACAAGACCACGCAGTAAAAGCCGCTGGCGGAATTTAGTATTATATAATCTCAAAATAAGAAAGTCAGTAAAACTTATGTCAGAAAATATTTATATAAATATTCTGAACATGCTTAAATTCTTTAAGCATGTTAAGTGTCTGGAAGTTCAATTTATTTAGACGTCTGACGACATATGCGAAATGTTGTGGGATAAAAAACCACCTAGGATTTGTGATATTTTAAATATTTACCTTTAAGACAAATAAAATATTTCATAAGCAATAATTTTTTCAGTGACTTTCCATTATAATTCTACACATGCCTGTTTATAAACAAATATGACACGGGAAAACCTAACAGTGTGTACTATAGTTTACTTTCTTTAGATACAAAACATTAAAAGATGATATAATCACTTAAAGCCAAAGTAATACAGACTGAAGAATTCCCTTTGAAATTTGACTTTCACGTCACATTCTGAAAGTTGAAAAATTTGAAACGTTCCAAAATTGGATGGTTCTTATTTTATATTAGAAATATTTTTTTTGTAGTATGGTCAGTTCAAAGAGTTCATGACCCACTTATAACAAACAATGTATACCGTAGTAACTAGGTACTACATCCGCGACAATCATAATATCAACAATGACTATAATTGAAGCGATAATACACAGATAATGGTTCACAAATACAAATATTGACATACTTATATACTGACACCGCCTTAACCTTTATTTATCACACCCAATATTATATAATCTATATATTTATAATCTAATTTAATTGTGCTCTGGACAATTATATTATCACTGTGTCAATCGAGACGATATCAACAGTCGCTTTCGAGGTCAATATTAAAATATAATTTTTAATAAATTCAAAGATATTGTTTTTGTCGTTTACGAGTACACTCGCGTGCAAACAAATAGTCTCACTTTGAAACATCGCAATCATTTATGAGAAAATTAAAAATAAATTATAACATTTTCAAATAAAGCTGTACATGTATTAAAATTTAATAAAAAGCATTATGATTTGTTGTAATCGAATAAAAATTCCAAATTCAACTTGTGGTTAATATTTTCAAGTTCTCGTTTTCTCTACTCGCGTCCAGATGGGAATCATTTACAAAGTACTAAATAAGTATAAACAATGAGAATGCTCATTCAAAAATGATTTTATGAGATTTAAAAACATATAATAGTACAGAACTGTTAACCTGCTGTCGGCTATTCAAATAAATTTTGGCAAAATTAAGTAAAATTTTAAATTTACCAATTTCATTTTCTTCAACAAACAAAACTGTTGAAACATAAGAATAATTTACTCAGTACTAAATGTTCTAGAACAGTTCCAAGAACCTTGTTAGCGACATAAAACCGGCTTAATATTACACAGACAATTAGTGGGAATATAATAATACAGAATATTTAGAACAAACGGCCTCCCTCAGACTAATTACCCCTAGACGATGGTCCGACACTAATCTCGGTGTTGCGAGCATTAAAATTAACTGTGCCGGTTTTAACATACTTTACTGTTGTTGTAACAATTAAGTAGCAACTAATTTCTGACTTCCCTTAATTAAAGTGACTTTATTTCAACAAAAAAAAAATGAGTTCAATATCAAAGTTCAATGATAATGTGCGAAATAGGTAATTAGAAAAACATCATAGAGGGTTTGTCATTTGCGTTTTAAAACAAAAAGAACAAGATGTGTAAATACGGAAACTTGGTAGTATGGATGTGGATACACAGATCCTCTAGCATGCTTTTAATTAAAAAAGTAACAATAAAAAAGGTATAAGGAAATAAAAATTTGATGCTATTCTGACTAATTAACGTACCCATAGTGTCACATGCGATTTTAAGATGAATCCAATCATACATTCGTCTGTCTGTCAAGTCGTTCAAGCTGCAGCAGAAAACATGGAAATCTACATCAAATATATATTCGCTCTAGCAAAAAATCTACTGTTCATTATATTAACAAATAAAAGTAGAAGTACAAAGTAAAGTAGATTGAGCAGAAATAAATTTAACAATTTCCATTTCACAAAAGTTACTTAATAACTGTTAACAAAACAGTTATTAAATATTTATTTATAACAAGTTGCTTGACGAAAAAATCAGCAACTAAATCAACGTAAGTCACTTCGGGAATGATGTAAAAGATAGTATTTTTAGTTTTACGAGCAAACAGTACATTAACTACGAGCCATAATAATTTACAGCAAATGAAATTTTATGTTGCAAATAAATTCCACTTGACCACAGCGCCAGGACCTCGCAGGTGTGACGTCACACGTAAATTGCACCAATCGCGCATTCGGAAGTTTAGCAGTAAGATAAGGAAGGCGTATCGCGCGCGTTTCACACTATCTTGGTTCGTCATTAAGCATCCGTTAGTTAATGACATTTTATTTTAAATCGCAGATAAATCTGTAACTACCCAACACTATATGATGTGTGCCCGTAAAAGTGTACATTATCGATACGTGTATGATTTTAACGAGTATTTAATAAACGTCTATTAGGCAACTTTAAAACGCGATAAAGCAAAGCGAGCTCGGCTTTATGGTAATTGATTTTAATACTTTAACGATTTTTACTGATTAATTTATTGATTTAAACTTTATTGCGGTAAACTAAGACTTAACTTTTGATAATGAATATACCTACTTACATAAATCTTTTTTGAAATATTCAATATATTACTATGAAATCAACGTCATGTTAAAATTCTTTTTGCGAACATAGAACACAAAGATTATATTCCATGCAAGAAACGACTGAGCAACTGATAAGGAAGTGTAACAGATAGGGTAAAAGTTTACATCAGATACGAATAAGTCAAGACAAGCAAGAGTTATAATAATTTAAAATCGAGTCAAAGGCAACCATCCAGATACAAGATAAAATTGAAAATTTCTTGTTACTCAATGTTCTAACCGAATTATGTTTCGATATGTGTGTCGAATTCAAAACACAAACCTACTAAGAAAAAAATAGATCGGTTCGTAGTTAAATCTATGGTGGGAGACCATAAACTGAGAAAAATCAGCAAAAACTCTTAGAACTCAGCACAGGCTGCTTCTTTACCTCAGCTATGTACAGAAATACGGACTTGTAATAACAAAAAATATTGATTACTAATTGAGATAAAATCCACCATCGTTACAACGATATATGAACCAATTAAATGATAAACATTGATATCTAAGTCATATAGATTCTAAGCATGATCAGCTAAAGCTCTTATAAGAGGTGTGAACAAAGCTAAACCCTTTATAGCAACTAAAGCCGTTTACATTATTATTTTATTCTTGGCTGACGGTGGTCTCCCAACATTGTTTTTAATGAGCTATAATATGACCAATTAAATCCGGCCTAAACGACCAACTACGAGTGGTCGCGGTATAGTTAGTTTTATAACTGTCTGTACGGCGTATGGCCACAGTTAAGATAGACGATTAAAGATTTAAATGTACATGTTTTGAATAGAACAATACTTAAGTAGCTTAGTCATTATATAATAAAGGACTACGCAGAATTATAATTTTGAGCATTGACTAATAAGTAATAAGGAATTTTATTAAACTCTAAAGAACCAATCTACTTCCCAGTTAGAAGTTGATTTTGAATTTAAAAATTATATTTCAACGGTTATTTGCGCGGATTGGTTTGTGTTAATGACTTCATATGCACCTTGTGATAATAAATGTGCAATCACCCATCCTATGTCAAGCCCTTGCGAAAGCTGCTTAACTTCCGTAATCGCAGAGCGGGAAAATTAACCACTGCTTCGGCGAGCTCCTCAAATTTTTCTAATATCCACGTGCTTATAAAAATAAGGAACGCATAAAATTTTTAATGATTCCAACGTTCTAACAAAATAACAAAATAGATCGAACTTGCCTTCGATAATGATAATGTTAAAGCATCATATTATGTTATTAATGATTTCCGTGTCACTATGTAAACGTTAACACTATTAGATAGACTTAGGAAATTACGATTTATACTTAGGTGACAAGAGAAGAGACATCAAGAGATTTATCATTTAATTGTTAATTAGATATGCTCAAGGTAATCTCACTTCAACTATTGACATTGATGTTTTGTTATCGACATTAAACAAATGGCAAAACGTGATAGAATTATTATATATTTACATCGACAATACCCTACAACATATAACCACAGTAATGATATTTAAATTATCATTTATAAAATTTTAGTCAAGATCAATTTTATTTTCCTTGATTGTTGCGCTGCTTTTGTCAAAATGATTAGCATTAGGTATTTTTCGGGATTTATAAACAAAGAAATGCTAAGCAGTAATCCAGAGTTTGGAGAATGTGGAAATATAACTCTTCTTAAAAGTCAGTAGCCTTGTAATGTCCCACTGTTTATCCAAAGACCCTCCCCGCAAATAGAATAGAGAAAAATAACCATAACCCACTATACCGTGGTGCAGATATGATTAATGCTGGATGAGATTAACAGCTTCGTTTTTGGACATGCACCCGATACGGTAACAACAACGAGATCACGCTGTTTGGTTTTTACTCGCCCCAAAAGGAAGCTTCTACCAAAAGCTTGTTTTAGTTATTCCTGGTAGTCCAAGACATTTGTTCACTATCAAATAAATATTCCAACTGGGAGCCGCTTTATCGCGGAAATCTTAAATATAACTATAAAAGTATAATTGACATAAGTGTTCCGTAATGTATTGTAGTTACGACAGAGTAGTTTAACCACAGGAACATCATTAAATTCATATCTTAAATCAGAGTATTAACTTACATGTTCTGTTTGTTGACGGGCGTGGTAGAAGGAGTTGGCCTCTTCTCTTCTTTGATAGTGCTATTGTTCATTTTAGACGTTAATCTCTTCAGGACGTCATCCATCGACCGCTTGTGAGGCGGAGCGAGCGACAACGCGCTGTTGTGGTTCAGCAATGAATTGTTATTATTGCAAAGACCCAAGACCTTAGGCTCGGTGCCAGGACTGCTGCATTCGGAAGAGCCCCGTCTCCGAGGCTGCAAGTCTACTTGGTGTAAGTTTAAGAAAGACGATGGGACTAGAAGATTGTTGGTCATTTCTAATGAGTCGAAACGTTGCTTCTTAGATGGCCGTTCGTCTTCGAAGTTTGGTTCCTCCTCACTAATTGAACTCCTGGTGGAACAGGTCGGTGAGAACTTGTCGTATATCTGTTGGTCGTTATCGTCCGATTCCTGTTCGAAGTCGTGCGCCGGCCCCGGTTGCTGCTTCTCTTCTGTAGCTCCCTCTTGCAATTTTGAAGGTGGAGATTTTCGTTTAGATGACATGTTTCTGAAAAGAGGAAATTGGTTTTAATACTTTAAAACCATGCATAAATGTCCATGGCCCACCTACATACTTTTAGAAGCTCAGTAACTCCATGTACTAAGATTCACGTTTAAAAACTAAATACTCATAAATTCTAAACAAGCACTAATTAAAGAGAGCAGCCGAGTCCGGGTCAGAAAACCGGGTTCGAGTTTGGGAACAAACACTAAATGTTTGTTCCCAAACTCGAACCCGGTTCGTTAGGCCACCTAATTGGGCTTTGCTAATTCAGATAATTGCTGTAAGGTGTATCCTACTCGGCAAGCACAGACCCCTAGAGACTGAGAATCATTCTGGGTAACTTTGTTAAAGGAATACAGTTTGTTTAGGATGATGTATGTTATAGGGCAGTGATTCTCAACCACTGTGCCGCGGCACTTTTGTGACAAAAGTGTTCAAAAGTGTGCCGCCAAATTTTGCAAATATATAATAATGTTAATATTAACAAATTATATCATTTAAAAAGAAAAATATTTTTAACATGAATATATATTTAAATCCAAAAAAAATACATATTTTATTATTTGCTTTGCAGCGCGTTTTTTCTTAGCGCCAAATTATGATGAAGCGGCGTGCGTAGCAATAGGAATCTGTCTTAAGTCGGCGCACACTTGCCACTTCTGCGTACAAAACGTGTTGTTTGAGTGATAGTTGGGATTCACAAGGTGTTGCATAGTAGTTACTGCACCTTTTCTTTCGTTAAAATTGGCAAATGTATGTGATTCGGTTTAATATTAATTTATTTGCATGTATAAATTAATATTAAACCGAATTTTGATTCATTAACTGATGATTTAGTTTTCTGAAATTAACAATTCTCCTTTATTCGAGTAAAAGTCTTTTTAAAATTCATGTATTATGATTTTGAATAATCCCATTACATTTTTGTTAGGGGATACTTAGGTATCCCTAAGCTATTAGTAGCTACAACATATGTACTTAATATAAGCTCAAGTCGTCTAAATACAAACTAAGTGAGATGCTCTGATCACTAATGATTACATAAGGTCATTTCAAGGGCTGATTCAAAGGAACCCACGAATCGGTTTCAATCGGTTGATCCAATACGTCACAGACAGTGTCTGGCGTCTGCTTTGATATCTGTTTGTCTTGTGCTGGGTTTAGTTAATCAACTAGTTTACTGGAAATCCAATAATGAGCGCTTGAATGGTCATAGGTTGAAATCAACGTCATAGAGTAAAGATATTGATGATGATATTTTGTTTTTGGACTGAAAAGTAATATTTTACTTTATTTATTTTTACTGTCTTGTATTTTTTTTTTTGACAAATTGTCTAGTAATTGAATATTTTCGTTACACAATTTCCTTTATCAATTCAAAGAAAACAAAGGTAATTTGGTTACATAATTTTATATCTGATCCCTGTATTCATGTACTCCGGATACTATATATGTCACACAAAGGTGATTTATTTTATATTTTTTTGGATATATCTTTTTGTGAATTATATATTTACAAAATTGTTTACATTTTTCAAATAAACCGATAAGAAAAGTAAATTATAAACATAACAAAAACTACTTCGAAATTCCAAAAAAATAAAATAAATTTGTAACATTTGACATTAAATGATTTTAGTTTTTGTTTGCTTTTATAATTTTAACATGTTAAATAATTTTTATGGTTGCATTAGACGTTACATCTAGTCTTCCAATCATTAAGACTATGGAGGTGCTCTATAATTTTATCTTTTTTAAATTGATAACTTTTATAATTTAATATATCCACGCCAACGAAGTTCGAACATGTTGGCATCTGAATATACTGTACCTTATTCTGGGAAAAGTTATTATTATAAAAACGACGACCCCAGACTCGGAAGTTTGTGATCATCCCACTCTCGTCATTGAGAATGAAATTCATATGGAACAAATCACCTAGAGCCTGAAGTATCCGTAAAATAAAGTATGTACTATTAACACAGTGACTCAAACCATATTATATTTTCCGATAAAGGGGGTGGCAAAAGCAACCTTTCGACACACAATAGGTACACTCTTTGATACTGTAATAAGATTTACTTCATAACAATCGGATAAATTCATTCTTATCGGATTGTACATAAATGGCAGGCATATGTGGAGTTCTTTTTTTCTATTTTACGTTTTTATGGAATAAATAATTGTAGATCATAATCAAATAAAGAGTCAAGAAACAATGCCGTTAGAGTTCGTTAGTGATATATTTTATGAAGTTAAAGTTAGTGATGTAAAATTAATCTTGTTTATTGAGTTCGTTTTCGACAACTAAACTACTGCTGCCCGACGTTGAAATAAAATTAAGTTAGACAGAGACAGGGTTTTGGGTGTATAATAACATATTAAAAACAATTGACTTTTCCATACAATTAAATTTCTCTTTTTTGTCAAATTTCAGCTTTAATACGTTACTATAGAGCGCACTTTGAACCACGAGACAACTCTGTCGATTCAACCAACTATTCATTTCCTTTCCATTACGAACACAATAATGTCAAACGGTGGCGTGAACAATAGTCGATTGGCGGGAAATTCAATAATAAATCTGAGGCACACATTCAGAAACTGTTGCCAAAATATAATTGGAAAAAGTATACACTCGATGATTTACAATAATGGATAAAGGGCAAAGAAAATCTGATAAATAAGCCAAACTGACTGAGGAACTATTATAGCCATAAGCTACGAAGGTGGATTTGAGATAACGGATCAAGAACTGTGGAAAATAAAGTGCAATTGAAAATAGAGTAAGCAACTTTGATTTGACTAAAATTAGTATGTTGATTGCTTTAGGAGCGAATTAAAAGTACTATTTTGTCTTCTACAGCATTCCCCTGCCTTTGTCTTGTTATTACTATAATACTTCCATATTCCTTACTGTCATATTGCGAAGTGGTATTGTATCTATAGGAGCAAAGCATCTTAAAAGGCAACATATTCATTTAAAACGTTTGTAATTAAATTTACAAAAAAATCTTTCGGTGGAGAAACTACACTCCTCCAATTTAGACCTCGACGTGTACATACGTACATCGAGATTTATCTACACACAAAAAAAACACAATAAAAAAATATTTAAAATAAATCACAACTACATAGAACAAATAAATAAAAAGACTAATCTTGATATCAAAGCTTTAACTGCTTAAATAATTTTAAGTAGTAAAGCAAAAATACACTGACACATATTTTCGATCTATCTTTAGTCTCGGTGTATGTCCCAAGAAAATACCTAATTTGTCGTAGCGAGGGAAATTGTAACTTAATCTCAATACAAACGTCACGAGTCGAGCACAGCTTGAGTCTAATAGAGGGTGGGCGACAATGGAGCAACTGAATTGCTTTCGTTAAATAAAACAATCATACCCTTGCGAGATTTAAAATTGAATACTCGAATGTTGATGAAATCGTTTACTGTTATAACGACGGCGTAGTGGCTAAAAGTTTGGAGGTTAAGTAATTTTTTGCGTGTGCCAGTACTAGGATGACACTAGCATATCCGAAGCTCCTTTGTGCTTCGAAAGGCACGTTAAGCTGTTAGTCCCGGCTGCAATTGGTATGGGCAGTTGTAAACACCAACCCCCACTCGATACTCGTGGTGGGTAGTGGTCTGTTGATTATAGGTAAAGCCTGTACCCACATAGTAGGGGCCTTAGTAGGCTGAATCATTCACAAACATAGAAAGAAAAGTATTGAAAATTTCTTAATACTACTACAATCGCAATCTTCTAATTAGTTCATCAAGCCACCTTATTGCCAAACGGTACTTACATTAATTCAGATTCAACTTTTATTATTTTTTGTTCTTTTTTATGTCTTAATGATAGAGAGTTATGGGGTACGACTTGAGAGTTTTAGCAATGTATGTAAATGTGCCTCTACATTCTTTAACTTCACACAAGAATGTAAAGTTCTTTATGAGTGCATCGATATTCATAAGTGGATCAGGTTAAAACTTGTAAAATACATCTCCGGCGAATGAACCTTATATATATATATATATATATATATATATATATACAGCTTATTAGCTTGCACGTCCGGTAGAAATTAATCAAAGTCAGATGGGTCTTTAATCGCAACGAATGTCCATCGTCCAATCTATTAGTTGAAGGAAATTGCAACCCCGTCTTAGATAAACGGTTAAGGTGTACCAATCAGCCAGGGGTGTTCACTACTCTAAGTTATGTGGAAATATTTTATAAGTCTTTAATTTGTATCAGTTCATACATCAGTACCCTATTTTCTTATATCCAAGAATTGTGGATTATATCTTTTTGAAATCTACGTGCTCCATTTTGAAAGAAAGCAGACAAGATGCGAAAGTCTCTTCATGTTGATCGAATCATTTCAAAAGCTACAACGGCAATTTTGTGATTCCTCGAAACTGATACTTATCCGTTGACTTTTTAAATGTCTTTTTTTTATCACTTACCGTTAAGTCTTGACTTTGTTATTAAATGAAAAAAAAAATATACACAAAATATCAATGGTATTAAGAGAAATAGCTAATTCATATTATAACAGTTGGCTTACGAATCGTTGGCATTATTTACTGAATAGTCCCGACCGACGAATTATCAGCCCTGAACGTTATCTAAAGATCGTAACATCATCCATGTATTACCTACCCTGTCTCCTAGTTGAGGACGTATCCATTAAGGATTCCAAGAAAACTTAATCTTATTGCTGCCAGTTTAAAAACCACTCTTCGGCGTAATTAGACCAAGTATTCAAGGTGAAACATAAAAGAAAATAAATAAAGGAACATAAAAATCTTTCGTTTTCTCGGTTCCTCGAGAAGACTAATAAAAACAAATTTGAAAAGCGGAAAAGAACTGTTCAAATTGAATAAATGGATAGCGAAGAATCGTAGAAGGCACAATGAAAAATAAAATTTAAATAGAAAATATTGTGGAGCATCAGTAATTGAATAAGACGGTAGTACTGAGGAAAAAATACCG